ATAGAAAAAAATAATTTAAAAATATAATTTAAGAAAAAAAGCAGTGTGGTTTTTTTTTAACTATTGAGCTTTATGCAGTGTGAATGCAGCTTTTCATGTGTGAACAATCTTTGCCCTTGCCCTGTTGCTCAGGCACATGTACCTTTAGGAAGTGCTTCCACAGGGCCAATTTGAGTTTATGTGATAGTCTCTAGTACATCATAATGTCTCCCTCTCTGTGCATTTCAAATGAGTCTTTGCTATGGACAGAAGTAAAATGGATTAAACTTCAGATGGGTTGTTTCCAGTCAAGACTGCATGTAGGAGATAACAATGGTTTCTCAGGGTCTTTGCTGGCAAATCAGTGTTGAGCAAGTGTATTTTCAAGTTTTGAGGCCAAGTGACTTAAACAAAAGTACTATTTTAAGAAACATTTTGTGGAGTAGATTGATAGTAAAGGGGAATGAGCTTCTTGTCCCAGTGTTGTTACAGCTGCTCCATATCCACAGACAGATTCCGTCTCTGAGGGCACATTCTTCCTTCCCAAGTGGGAGTAATGGGATGGATGGGAAGGATTAGAAATGTCTGAACTCTCCTATAATGACTTGTACCCGCTATCTGATCACTGGATCCTTTTGAAGGTTGTGTGCTAGTTGAACAATCTATCAAAATCTTTAGCAGCTTTATTATGGAACTGACAAATAAGAGACTGGATTGAGACCCAGTGGATTCAGATGCTTAGAAATACTAATTTTCCTAGGTAATTTAGGGGATTTATCAGTCTGTACACTCTGTCCTATAGTGTTACCATTTCTAAGCAATCCCAAGTTCTGAAACTGCTCCCATCCTATATGGGTTTTGTTTCATTAAATGTTGAAGTAAGGAATGGATTAATTATTAACTTTTTACTTTTATATGCTTATCTGGATGTCTGTCTTTCTTCCTTCTGAAATGGGACATTCTTCTAGCTAACCCTGGGTACTGTTACTTAATTTTTGTTTCATTATCCTTATTCTTTCAATTGCAAATAGTGAAAACACAGCTTAATATTTTCTAGCTTTCCAGGTTGATAGACACATAAAAATATACAGAATGAGCTCACATGGAAGACTTAAAGGTGACTCACTTTAATAGTTACTGAACTTTATATCATTGTACCATGTAAGAACATAGATTTGAAACCCGAGTATCGTTTGAATGATCTTATGATTTCTTTTGCTATATAAATTCCTTAAATTGATCATTTTGAAGGCTTTTAAAACATTTTATTTTAGGATTTGTTTTTAAAATCATAGCTCACAGAAGTGTAAAAGTTCTTATAATTTAAAAAACAAAACAAACCCTAGCCTTTGTAACTGTGATATATTTCAGGAACAGTGAATTCAGCCTGTGGAAGGGGGACTGTTGTGTGCAAAAACACATTTTAAAGAACACTTTATAAATAATGTAGCACTGAAAATATTTTTGTTTGGTTTGTTCCTTTCCCCATCACCTTCCCTCCACAGGTCAGACACTCCGTTGATATACAAAGCTGTGCCAAGCTGGTTTGTAAGAGTGGAGCACATGGTGGAGAAGCTACTGGAGAATAATGCCCAATGCTACTGGTAATGTCTTCTGCATAGAAATCTCTCTTCTTTGCCCTGGGGTTGGGGGTGGGTGGGTGTGCTGGAACTCTGCAAAGCTCTAATTCACTGTTTGTGTGCTTACCTAACTTCACATTTCCATTCTGTCTTTCTGAGCCAGTGTTACTGGAATGGGGCTGGTGATCAGTTTTAAATAGTGTTTTATCTCGGGTTTTACAAACGTGCCTCAAACTGGCAGAGCAATGGGATGGTCTTCGTGGCATTAACAGATAGAACCTTCTTAATTGCCTGTCAGCCCAGTGCTTGAACGTGTTTGCACGCTATCTTTTCTTTGCTTTTGTAAAATCCCAGTGAGAAATGTGTTTTTGGGGTACAAAGTTGAGTTTGTACAAATAATTTACACTGAATTATATTACAGGATTGTTAAAGGTATCCTCAAATCATTTTAGAGAATCTTAATTCAGCATCAGGGAAACTACAAAATAAAATCAACCTGTAGAAACATGGAAGTGCACAGTTAAGCCTCCCAAAAGGGTCTCCTTGTTCCAAATAAATTTTTGGACAAGTTTGGTGTTTTTTTTTTTAATGTGGTTATTACAAATAAGGTTGATTAATTTATCATAGGTGCATTTAAAGGAAAAAAACCAACACCACCACCTTCCCCCCATAACAGCCCCCAAAAAACACAACCCAGCTGCCCTAGCTTGTGTAATAGTTGTAAGTAAACTCAGTTTCAGAGGTTTAAATTTTTTACTTGTGGCAAAAATCTAGTCTTTATATTTGGAATGCATATTGATGTCAAATTTATGTAGAAACAACAGATAAGTTTTAAGTAATTGAAATGCAGTACTAAATTAGCAGCAAGAGGGAAGTTAGGTGATAGTAGCCTTTCTGAGAGCCACTTGTGGGTTTATGGTGTTAGTAACAGGACACCATCTTCTCCACCCCCACAACCTTTATTTTATTTCATCTCCTCTCATAAGTAACTTATGCCCGGGAAGTTGAGACCAGGTGGGGAGAACTGGAGGTTACAGCCTCCTGCAGTTGTGCTGTGTGCCCAGTCCGCTGTCATTCGGTCTCTGCTGGACTGGAGCTGGGATTCCACCGCTGCCTGCCTCTGCTCAGCTGCTGAAATGATGGTCAAGTGACTCAACCTGCTGTCAACAATTACAGCTTATGCTGTGTCCTTTTGTGGACAGCCGTTAGCAGCTAAATTCTCCCTGAGCAGCTTTGGCATCACTGCTGAGGTGGTACAAGCACTGTCACTATTGCAGTATGTGGGAAGAGTGAGTGAGCCGTGGTGCAGACTGGCCCCAGGTGCTGCAGCCTTGCTAAGCAGCACGTGCCCAGTCTGGCTATGTAAGAAGGTTCTGTAGGTTATTAAGTGTTGCTTTCTGTTTTCTGTAGCAGAACATCCTACGATCCTTCTTTTGGGGAAAAATAAGCTGGAGAGGGGGTGAAAGTGTGTGTTCTTAGCTTTAATTAGCTTTCTCAAGATGCTTTTATTGTTTTGATGGCTGACAGTAGACCTGCATACTTAATTTTCACATGAACATAAAAATGTAGTGATCCTCTTCAGGAAGTGTTTAAGTGGATGAGAGAGTTTTGCTATTCCAGAAGCAAAGCTTCAAGAAGAAACTATGACTTCTAAGTGACCTTCACTCATGCAGGAGACATTAGTAAGAATTAGTAAACTGAACTTTATCTCATCTATGTATTTGGATTTTGCACGATGCTTTTTTTAAGTGTTGAGTAGTGGGGTTACAAGTGGAACCAAATGGGGGATCTGCTGTTGCAAAGGTTGGGTGGGAAGACCAGGCAATTGTATTAATTGGCAACATTCAACATGCTCAAATTAAAGTGACTGTTTGTCCTTTAGGCAGTTCTTGACTCTCACCATAATTCCGTAGTAGAACAAAACTAATTCCTCAGAACTTCTCTCAAAACAACATAGTCTTAGAGATTTCGAGACTCTTTTTGTAAGTAGTATGACTATAAGTAGAGATATTGTCACTAAGTAATTAATAAACTACATTTTCATAATGTGATTTCATAATTAGTAGTTGAAATACTCAATGGCTTTCATTACATCAAGGCAGCTTTAAAAGTCCAGCATTTTAAAAGAAAAACGCATTACTTTTACATTTCAGTTTTCTTCCTATGTTCTCCACTGATGTCAGTTTTATTTGAGGTGTAACTTCTTAACTGGTGTTGAGAATGCTAACCTTCAATAGTCAGTTTTTTAATTTTTGGGAACTCCAGCCTTACCAAAACCTACTTTTTTTTTTTTTTTTTTTTTTTTCTTTTGAAGAGACTTGATCTCTGAAAGTGTCACAGGAACAATACCTAGCTTTTCAAAAAATTATTTTTGGACTCTCTGGGGCTTCAGCATGTCCTGAAAGTGAGAAAATCTGGGATAAATGCTTTTCAGACTATATTAACCTTTGCAAAATGAGTCTGACTGCTTTGCTTTTTTTATTCCTTATAATGACTGATAGGTATATTGTCCCTTAGGAATAGCTGCACTCTTTATAGATATCCTTTTTGATGAAATAGATTAAATGTAGTTTGGCAAACTTTGCAACTTGATTGCATTTCTAATTAGTTTTTTTAGTGAATTCGCCTACTGGTAAAGCCATAGTTACTCAAAATTTATTAAAGCTAGCAACTGTATCTTCATTTTTCAAAATGAACTTACTATAGCTTTCAAGAATGATTACATGAGCAACATCCCAGCAGTTTTGTAAAATCAGAAACTAGAAAAACACTCTTGTCTTTCTCCCAGCTTACTCTGATCAGAGTGGTAACAAGTAACATACTGGATGTTGCTGAAAATGCAGGATTGGAACAGTGTTTAAGAGACTGTTTCAGTCTTTAATCCAAGATCTTACTGTATGTTCTCTTTACCACACAACCAGCAAAGAAGATTATTTAAAAAAAAATTATAAAGAAAAAGGTATATTTTATTTTGTATTCAGACAACCTACTACTGTGGTACTTGAGACAGAGGGGGAAATTGAGCTGCTGTACCATTCAAGGCTGTCAGACCTTGGTTTCCTGTTGTGATGATATGGAGAGTCAGATGTAGCACCAGCATCGGGGTCCCTGGTGTAAACGGCCTGGATTTCAGCCTTGATTGTTGTAACTGTCCACTTACAGAGTGCTTTGTTGGAAGAGCATTTCCTGCCTGACCACAATCAGCTAAACCACACCACCTTGGATTCCCTTGTATAATATAGGACTAAGTTCTGTCATCAGAGTTCAGAGCTGGTATAAATTACAAATTTTTAAGTCACTGTAAAGAGTAAGTTAGTGCAATTTATACTTAAGTTTTTGATCTGCTGTAGCTCACACTTCTGGCAGCGTATGTAATATTTTTATACTTGCATGTCAGTAGAAAAAGTTCTGTAGTTTGTATTTAAATATCAACTTTGAACTATCTAAAAAAACCCTTATTGTTTCAAAACTCTCCCTCACTTATGAGTTTTACTTCAGTAAGTCCTGAAAGATTAACCTCTAACTGTCAACAAGTTTTTGCTGTTAAACACGATGATGCAGTCTGGACATTGTTTACATAAGATGTGCAGCACTTGGTATAGTGGAAAAATGAGCATCAGTGGAAGGAAAGCAATGATGGAAGGCAGTAAGGGACTTCAAAGAAGCCAAACCTTTTGTTCCTTGGCACTGAAAAATGCAAGCATTGTAATAAAGAGCCTGCACATAGTTGAAGATATCCTTTTTCTGACTTTCATTGCTTAAACTGGTAGTTGGTATTGAAAATACCACACAGAACACATCCCATAGGCCTTTTTGCTGAAAGTAAATTTCCTGGTTTACAAGGTGTGAATTTTGCACACAGTTCCTGCCTTTCCCATATGAGTACTCTAAGATCAAGTGTTTTCACATGCCTCAAACACATGAACCTTTTCAGAAGCTTTTGTTGTTAGTCTTTCTAGTCTTCGACCAGGTGCTGCCTTTGCTGAACAGCAAACTGTCTCCCACCTTCTGAAAGGTGTGATCTGATCACAAATGATGCCTGTCTTGTATCATAGCCCCTAAGGTGGGTAGGGTGTGCAGAAGATGGGCTGTAGAGCCCATCTGCAATGGAAAGCTAACACTGGTTTTACTAAATGTGTAATTTTTGTGCAGATGAGATATCCCAGTCTGTAGCAGAAGGAACAGAATCATAAGTAGTAAGAGAATTCATAGAATCAGAGAATCATGAAGGTTGGAAAAGGCTTCTAAGGTCATCAAGTCCCACCATCAACCCAACACTACCATCACCACTAAACCATGTCCTGAAGTGCCATGACCACATGTTTTTTGAATTCCTCCAGGGATGGTGACTCCACCACCTACCTGGGCCAATGCCTCACTACCCTCTCAGTAAATCGTAGCATAAGGGAGGAAAATCAGTTACTGACTCCCTTGTTTTCCTCCTTTTTTTTTTTTTTTGGCTGTTTTATTTCCTAGTTTGTCATAGTTTTATCTGAACAGATTTAAATTAATTGTGTGTGTGTGTGTTTAATTTTTCCCTTGCCATTTTTATTTTTTGCCTTGCTTTACTATGACCACGCAATTGTAACTCTTCTTCAGACTTTGCTTGCTCTCGAAACGTGGACATAAATCAGGTCTTCTCTGAGGTTAGAGCAACGTGCAGCCACTAGATGGCAACATTTCCGAGGAAAAATTCAACCTGGTGCCATTTCCTACAGTGGAAGGTGGAAAAAAAAATTGCCGCAGGGTTAGCTTTGTGTTTTTCTAATTTAGAGCAGCGTAAGTCAGAAGATTTTATTATTGGCTGTTATCAGACAGAGCTGAGGATAAGAAGTGAATTTCAAGGCTGGTTCCCGTTGATTTTGATGGCTTGTGTTCTGACGTGCCCTCATTTTGCTGTTTCCTCTCAAAGCCTCTTTGAGTGGAGATTGCCAGTTATGTCATGAGTACAGCAGGTATCTTTTCAGTCCCAGTGAATGGTCATCTAAAGCTTGTTTTTTTTTTTTTTCAAGCAATACATTACT